CCTCCAGACACAATCCCATCTCCCGCCCTCATTCAGCTTGTCGGCTCATTCCATTAGCGTTATGAAGACTGGGCTCACTGTGCGTCGCTCATTTCATTTCCTTTTCATCAGCAACCTGGCGAGGTTTGAGTTCCCCAGTGAACGATTACATAATGTGTCTTTTGAAGATGAATAGTGCTCTGCATTGTGTTACAGATCTTTATCGGTGGTTCTGATGGTTCCAGAGAGAGACAGGCAGCGAGAGGAAGGTCTTTGGATGTTAGAGGATGATATATGTTGTGAGTCTGGAAAACTGTCTGCTTCACTTCTTCTGTTGCTGCCCGAGCCAATTTCCTTCAACTCACTGAATCTTTGAAAAGAAGCGCACAATATACGTCTTATCTTTAAGTCAAAGTAATATGAGAGAGCCAGCAGCTACAGAAGGCCTCTGATCTCTGGAAAAGTACTTACATACAGTGGGGCAAAAAAGTATTTAGTCAGCCACCAATTGTGCAAGTTCTCCCACTTAAAAAGATGAGAGGCCTGTAATTTTCATCCTAGGTATACCTCAACTATGAGAGACAAAATAAGAAAAAGAAATCCAGAAAATCACATTGTCTGATTTTTAAAGAATTTATTTGCAAATTAAGGTGGAAAATAAGTATTTGGTCAATAACAAAAATTGATCTCAATACTTTGTTATATACCCTTTGTTGGCAATGACAGAGGTCAAACGTTTTCTGTAAGTCTTCACAAGGTTTTCACACACTGTTGCTGGTATTTTTGGCCCATTCCTCCATGCAGATCTCCTCTAGAGCAGTGATGTTTTGGGGCTGTCGCTGGGCAACACAGACTTTCAACTCCCTCCAAAGATTTTCTATGGGGTTGAGATCTGGAGACTGGCTAGGCCACTCCAGGACCTTGAAATGCTTCTTACGAAGCCACTCCTTCGTTGCCCGGGCGGTGTGTTTGGGATCATTGTCATGATGAAAGACCCAGCCACGTTTCATCTTCAATGCCCTTGCTGATGGAAGGAAGTTGTCACTCAAAATCTCACGATACATGGCCCCATTCATTCTTTCCTTTACACGGAACAGTCGTCCTGGTCCCTTTGCAGAAAAACAGCCCCAAAGCATGATGTTTCCACCCCCATGTTTCACAGTAGGTATGGTGTTCTTTGGATGCAACTCAGCATTCTTTCTCCTCCAAACACGTCTAGTTGAGTTCTTACCAAAAAGTTCTATTTTGGTTTCATCTGACCATATGACATTCTCCCAATCCTCTTCTGGATCATCTAAATGCTCTCTAGCAAACTTCAGACGGGCCTGGACATGTACTGGCTTAAGCAGGGGGACATGTCTGGCACTGCAGGATTTGAGTCCCTGACAGCGTAGTGTGTTACTGATGGTAGCCTTTGTTACTTTGGTCCCAGCTCTCTGCAGGTCATTGACTCGGTCCCCCCGTGTGGTTCTGGGATTTTTGCTCACCGTTCTTGTGATCATTTTGACCCTACGGGGTGAGATCTTGCGTGGAGCCCCAGATCCAGGGAGATTATCAGTGGTCTTGTATGTCTTCCATTTTCTAATAATTGCTCCCACAGTTGATTTCTTCACACCAAGCTGCTTACCTATTGCAGATTCAGTCTTCCCAGCCTGGTGCAGGTCTACAATGTTGTTTCTGGTGTCCTTTGACAGCTCTTTGGTCTTGGCCATAGTGGAGTTTGGAGTGTGACTGTTTGAGGTTGTGGACAGGTGTCTTTTATACTGATAACGAGTTCAAACAAGTGCCATTAATACAGTTAACAAGTGGAGGACAGAGGAGGCTCTTAAAGAAGAAGTTACAGGTCTGTGAAAGCCAGAAATCTTGTTTGTTTGTAGGTGACCAAATACTTATTTTACAGGGGAATTTACCAATTAATTCATTAAAAATCCTACAATGTGATTTCCTGGATTCTTTCCCCCCATTCTGTCTCTCATAGTTGAAGTGTACCTAGGATGAAAATTACAGGCCTCTCTCGTCTTTCTAAGTGGGAGAACTTGCACAATTGGTGGCTGACTAAATACTTTTTTGCCCCACTGTATACAGGAGGCTAGGACTTTAATTTTTTATATCACAGTTAAGAATAGAGGAGGGTAACCTTGTTATACAGAGCTGATGATTTACTTAGGCTTTATAGGCTTTTCATACTGTTTCACTAGCCTATATGTTCATAAATATAGTTGGCCTACATTGACTGCCAGTCAAGTGTGCCATCACCATGGAGCTGCTGTCACATCAATGAGGTCATGTCTCCATGTATCCTCTCGTACTCAGACTCATACAGTTTGAAGGAAAAATACACGTTTACAGTATATTAATCTTTGCTGTATAATCAATCAATCCACTAACATACACCAATGTAACCCCTGACCACGAAAAAAGTGAATTCATGTACAGAGAAACACCAATATTGATTTGCCAACGTATTCCGGTAGCAAGTGGCTGCGACAAAATGAATCACATTCCTGAACAGGTTCAATTATTGATTAATCTAATGATCAATTGGTCCAGGCATGGTGATGGAGCTTCCAACACCAGCCCAGCCACACAGTGTGCCCTGGAGACATGGAGATAAGACCAAAGAGGAGGAGAGGAGGAGAGGGGGCGAGGACGGCTGGCTGCAGAAAGTGGGACAGAGGAGCAGTCAGCGGGGCAGATCGAGGCTAATGCAGCCAGGCATCCAGGCTTTCCTGATGTGCGAGTTCTGCCCGTTGTGTTTCTCCTCGAGCAGACTGACCTCTGAGCAGCAACTCCCATCACATGTTGGCTAGCATACATCCCTGAGTCATAGCCCAGTGCCTCCAGCCGTCTAAACACTCTGCACACAAGAGTGGGAGCAAAACACTGAGCACCCACAGCTACTTCACATGGGCTGCTTATCAGGGACAAAATGGCATTCATTCATTAATTGTGTGTGCGTGCGTGCGTGTGTGCGCGCGCGTGTATGTGTGTGTTTTCAGCTGTGGCCCAGGAGCAGCTGCCTGCATATGATGCTGCTGTTAGGGAAAATACTCCATAAGGGTAGTCTCTATACGCACAGTGGAGGCAGCACTGTAACACGTGTTTAAAAGGAAACGCTAACAGCGGTCATATTAAATCATGTCATGCATTAAATTAAGGCCCCAGAACAGCAAAACGCATTGTTCCGGTCTAGTTGTGTTGCGCTTATCATGCCTGGCACGGCACGGAAGAGCTCGCACAGTGAAGAGGCTGCTTCTGGCCAAAGGATATGAGCAAAGAGAAGAAGGAGAGGCGACTGTCCCAGGGTCGCTGCACATCGCCTACGCCCATTCATAGTGTGCGTGCTTCAGCCTACACTACCCAGCCTGACATCCCGCTGATCCGCCAGGGTTTAGTCCGTTCATTTTCACTCTAGGCAGTGACGGTGATTTCACTGCGTAGGTACACGGCAGCATGGACTCACTATCCCTGCGTAACACATGTGTTTATGAATATGTAGAAATGCCATTCAGTGTGGTGCGAAAATGGCCACAATTTGACTGCATGGTAGCCTACCGATTTATATTCCCAATAACCTTAATGTAGGTTGTGGGGAGGGACTCACTACGTATTGACCGTGTCAGCTGCTCATAAATGCCTTGTAAATGCCCTTAAAAATAATCAATATAGACCACTGCCCCAACCCAACATAACTGTGATCAGTGGCTGCAGCCATGCCGGTCAAACCAGGAGTCTAAACAAAGAAAAAAAAGGTCAGTCTTTTGTTACCTTTATAATCTTAATCGGATTTAAAATCTCTCCTCCGCCTCCCTCAAACAGGGACACGGGTGTAGCCTGCAGGCGTTATGAAAACGACCATCATTTAAATTATTAATTTCGACGTGATAAAATCAGTCCAAATGGCAGGAATGGATGCAAGGTGCAGGCGAATAGCCGGGCGCCCCTTCATCACACAATAACACCGGGAAACACCGAGAACACTCACCTAGTGGTCCGAGGAGGAGACGGGGGGACCGGGACTCTGGGAGGGTTGTCCCCCAAAACGAGCACCGATACGGAGAATTTGGGGGAAACGAAGTCTGAATGTCAAAAAATATCCTCGGCGTCCTCCCGGGCCGGATGCTGATGGTGGTGTGTGGGGGTTTGGCTATGTGCTGGATGCTGTCATCATACTGGGACTGCTCTCTAATCCTCGGCCCTGAGCTCAGAAAAACCCCCTCCTCCCACCGTCTCTCTCTCCTCCTCTGCTGTCTGCCCCGAGGACCCCCGCCCCCCTCCGCAAGGTCAGATATATCCAGTAAAATAATTCGAGAAATATAAAAAATACAATATGTTATTATGGTGATTATAATATTTTTACCATTATTATTAGGCCTATTATTATTATTGTTATAATTATTATTATTATGCAATTTTGCTGCTGCAACAAAATAATTTCCCAATATTGGATTAATATCTATCTATCTATCTATCTATTTGTAATCTGGTGATCTAATACAAATATTTTTTTATTGGAAAAAATGCTTGGTTTATTTATTTGTATGATCCAGTTTTCCAATAGCCTACCCATTTCTTATATTTTGTAAATCCGATAATAAGTGTCTGTATTCTTCTTAATAAACAATGTTTTGACTGTAATTCTACTTTTTATATATCTGTATTTACAGTAGACTATAACCACATACTTTTGGGGGGGGGGAATAAATAACACTTACACTCACAATTTAATTATAATTGTAACAGCTGTTGGGTAGTCTGTAGCACTAAACAATATCAGCTCATATGATAAGGTCCTTAACTTTTATTTTATTTTAAGGTCCTTAACGTGGCCCCTGCATTTCTAATTGTGTCAAGATCATGGTCAAGATCCACACAATATCTCAATATTTTCCTAGAGTCCCCTGGTTGATTTATCTGGCCTGAAAGTAAAACGTCATATTATTTTCCAGTAAACCTAAAAAGTATTTTATTTATTAGTTTTTGCCTTCGTGCGATTTGACCCTCGGTGTGCACCGTCCTTCGTCGTCACGTCCGTTTTTACGCACTTCCGGTTAAGATTATTCCTCCATGCTCCGCAACGTTGAATTTTCAACACGAAAGGCAGACTGAAGAAAAAGACCAAATAAACCACAGCCATAATGTTCAAACTGGAAGGACTCGGGCCTAAAATGGACCCAGAGGAGATGAAGAAGAAAATGAGACAAGATGTCGTCTCATCTGTACGAAACTTCCTTATTTACGTCGCCATTCTCAGAGCCAGTGAGTACAAGCAGATGACATTGACATACAACTCACAACACTTGTAGTTTTCACTGCTTTTCTGGCATTAAGGACAGTGGCGTGTCACCTCATGCATGTGAAAGTATATGGGAACGTCTTATAGCACATTTTATAAAAAACATAACAACACAAGCTACATTGCAGAGCCAATACAATTATGTTGTATGTCATCCTTATTGTTGTTCTGTTGTTTTTATGTTACATGTGTAACTAATGTCCTGCAGGTCACCCTTGAAAAAGAGATCTTTTGATCTCAAGGGGCTTTCACCTGGTTAAATAAAGGCTACAAACAAACACAAATGGAGGATACATCTTAAGGCTGCAGTGCACAATCTATCGAAATACTGCAATATTGTACAGGGATTTTCTAGTTAGTTGAAAGAGACTCATCGTACAAAAACTCCTCTTTAAAATGTAACAATCATTTTCGTTATTGGTATGTTTTAAATAATATAATTTATTGGCATTTGTCTTTAAATAACAATCAATTTGTTTGTTTTTTTAACAGTATTCTGAGAGCAGCAGAAAGGCAGAACCGAATACAAATCAATATATTTGTAATATTAAAAAGTACTTTAATTATCACAACATTAACGAAGTTAAAAACATATTTTCCTCAACTGTGCTGCCATACATCAATCTCACTTTATTCATGGTCTTAACATAAACTAATACTCTGTTTCTTCTGTGTTTACAGCCCCATATGTGTTAAGGAAGCTGGACAGCATATGAGCGGAGCAGCAGGTCTCTTCTTCCGCCATGCACTGAGAGTTTACTCCATCAGAGACAGTATGAGCCATCTTCATCAGACTACCGGGGCAACAGCAGCAAATCCTGTTGGAGATGATCAAAGTCTGTCCATCACTGCACCTGAAGAAACACCTTGTTTTCATTTGTCATGTCTTGTTGAATACTTTAGTCTGCCTTTCTTGTGAAAGGCATTGTTAAATGCAAAGTCTAAATGTGTGTATGCCTGCTGTGTTCACACATCAAAGGGGAAAACATGTTGTTTTTGATTTACATAACAGATTGTTAAATGGCAAGAAAACGTTCATGATAGGGTTTTAAACCTTGAATCTGACATCACTGAAAATAAAAAAATTGCATAAAAGATTTGGACGTGATTCATTGTCTTTTTCTGAACTGATAACAGAGATCTTCAACAGCAACAAACATATTTTCTTGACTTGGCCTCTAGATTAATTTAACCTTTGCCTTGGTGTTTATTTAGATCAAAAGATCAAAAATACTGTAATATTGTTAACTAAAATACTAGTTTGCTAGGAATCATGGGAACATGAATTGATAAGCACACTTGTTTCAAATCAAATCTGCTTCGGGTTTCTAATTGGAGTAATAAAGCCCATGGACATTGATAATGCAAATAAAAAGATCAATTGTTAGATGTTTTGGTATGTACAGTATATCAACTTGACTTGCAGTGTACTATAACAATTACAACATAATTTGATGAGAAATAAAATTGACAAAATTCGATATTGAGAAAGTCGAATGTAGATACAGTTCAGCAAAATGGCCACCAGGGGGCGGCGTGGTTTCATCCCGAGGGTTGATGAGACAACAAACGATGGAGGACAGTAGACGCTAAACCGGGTGAGAGTTAGGTTGTAGAGCTCTGGATTAGTAGCAGAAATGGTAACCATAATGAAAGCAACATTAGGATAACATATTTTTTTCGGTGAAAGAAGAATACAGATATCCGGCTGTTCTCGGAGACGAAGCCTGAGACCGCGTCGCATCCTCCGTGTTCTTGTTGCACTAGGCCCGCCCATCCTCCACAGCATCCCAGGCAGCTACAACAGACAACAGACCGCACATCACACCGGAGGTAGGCTCCTTTGGAAAGCCAGTGTCCAGTCAGCCTGAGGAAGTGTTCAGCAGATGAGGGGTAAATAACAAGAAGTTTGACAGCTTTGCTCCAGACAATGCCCTTCATTGTGTTATTGAATGTACACTAGTGCCACGGATGCTATACAATACACCTGTACTAAAGAACCTCCACCACCTATGATGGACTTCCCAGGTCATTTCCAGCACATTTTTAAGCAGCTCAACCACCAGCGCCTCCATGCTCAGCTGTGTGACTGTGTGGTGGTGGTTGGAGGTCAGAGCTTCCAGGCTCACCGCTCCATCCTGGCAGCATCCAGCTCCCACTTCAGGGCTCTCCTGAGCTCCAGTGACAGTGGGGACGAGGTTGGCGCGGATCCAGGTGGAGGCCCCAGTGTGATGGAACTAGATCAAGAGGTGGTGACCCCTGAGGCCTTCTCGACCTTGCTGGACATGATTTACACTTCCACCCTCTCTCCTGGTGCCTCCAATGTGATGGATGTACTGCTGGCAGCATCGCACCTGCACCTCAACACTGTCGTCAAGGCCTGCAAGCTCCACCTGTCCAGGAAAAACTTTCCCGCATCACCTCCAAAAGGCTGGAGGTCATTGCAACAGCAGCAGGCAGAGAACTCGGCCACATCTGTCATGGAGGAGCACATCAGTGACGAGGAAGTGGGGGTGGAGGTTAGTCAGTCTGGTGGAGTTGAAGACCAGGGAGTGAGGATGAGGGAACTATCATTGAGGAACAAGAGGAAGTCAAACAATGACGGGCTCAGTGGCAGAAAGAGGTCCTGCAGACTGCCTGAGGGAAACTATAATGAGTGTTCACCTAATGTAAGCACCGTCAGTACAGAGGAGGGTGGAGAGCCGCCGCCGCTGCCCCCAGACTCCCTGAAGATGAGCGATGCTCTCTGGGAGAGCCGAGGTGAGGAGGAAGTGGAGGAGAAATATGAAGCAACCAAGGGAGAGTCAGAGGAAATCCAGCTTCCAAGCCAATCAGACAGCAGCACGAGAGGTGTAGGTGCATGGGATGTGGGCGGAGATACTGTGGTCAAAATACAGATAGGAGAAGAAGGGGAGGAAGATGGAGAGAAGCCGAAGATTACGATGATTGAGGTAAAAAAGGAGAGCTCATACTCCCCAGATTTACCAGACAATTGTCCTCTATCTCCACCACCAGGCTGCACTGACCATTTGGACGCACAACTAAATGAGGAGAAAATGGCCGCAGCCTGCCCCACTGAGGCTGGCGTTAGCTCTCTGCAATCCCAGCTGTGCACAGATCTTCAAACTGATGCTAGAGATCTGGGTGAGGAGTCAGTGGACGGTGAAGGCCTCGACAGCCTGTCAGAACTCGCTTTTTCCTGCTTCCTCAATCCCAGCAGTGACAGCGTGATGGGGGCTTTGGAGGAAGAAGACAGTCTAGCTAGCCTCACTGCTGCTGCAACAGCTGCTGCCTCTTATGCTGCTGGAGAACTTTGTCAAAACTCAGAGGAAAGCTCTCCTGCTCAGACCGCTGATCCCTCTCTAGTGTTTCCAGTGACGTCTGTCCCCCTGCAGCAGCTTCTCCCCACTCAGGGCCCTGGTTTCAGCGACACACTCATCCTCCAGCCCACTCAGAACTCTTTATCAGGGTTCCTGAGTAGCATCAATCCAGGCCTCAGTCTGGAAACGTCCCTCATCCAACCTTCCTGGGCCGGGAAAAGCTCAGGGGCGACAACCTTCCGACGCATTGCCCCCAAAGTGTCGCCTGGATCAGAAGCTGATGGTTCCTCTGGGTCAGCGGGGGATGCTGCTGAGAGGCCGCCTTTGACCAGAGCTTCTGACGATGTTATGTCCAAGTGCAAGAAAGCAGCTGCTGAAGACCTCGTGATGTTGGTGGAAGGAGAGAAGAAATACGCCTGCAAAATCTGCTGCAAGACCTTCATGAACCTGACTGACTGTAAGAAACATATTCGGGTCCACACTGGAGAAAAGCCCTATCCATGTCCAAAGTGTGGCAAGCGCTTCAGCCAGTCCTCCCATCTGTATAAGCACTCCAAAAACACCTGCCTGAACTGGAAGGATGACCAATCCTTCCCTGATACCCTGCTATCAACTGCTCTTAACTGAAGGATGTTTTCTGGTTTGCACAACTCATAGAACAAAATGAACTCTGCAAGGTTGATTATTTATTACCCCATGAACTTAATTATATGTTACATGAATTCAAATTAAACTAGCCAATGTTTTTTTATGTGATTTGTTCAAAACTATTGTATAGAAATGTAGCCAAACTGATGAATGCACTGAAAATGGCCTCTAAGAATAACTTGTTTTTTTACTGCTGTGTTAAGAATGATGAGAATAAATCATTCACTTCAATCTTTTTTGGAGCATGAGTCATTTCTAATAAAAAGAATACAACACACGGAGCATTATAATTAAACTAAGCAATACGTGTTTATTCTTCAAGACATGCCATTTGTTTTACACAAAACTGGAGTGTTGTACTGTTTGGGAGCGTCACTGACAGCATTACCATTAGAGAAAAGTGCAGATTGAATAATGCTCATCTTTATGGCACGGTTAAAGAGAGACAGAACATTTGATTATATTTTAACAGACAAAAAATAACTAATGTTATGAAGTGCTACCAGTTTCTTCATTGCCTCTTAAATACATTTCTGAGATGATAAAACTGCACAAAGAATTGAATTCCTCTGAAATACACACTCAATTCAAAGAGTGAATCTCATATTAGTACCTCTGACAAGATCACACGATCAAGTTAATACTGACGACATGGAATCATGTGTCTGAGCTTTCTTAACTACATTAGTATTCTTCTTTTCAGCCCTGTCACATAGGAGACCATCACTGGATCAGTATATTACTGCTACAGATGCAGCGCCAGAGCAGGCCGTCGGCACAGCAACACACTTTTAGTTTTAGAAGGTGAGTTCACTGGGCATGTCCGTGCCCTGTAAACCTCCCAGCAGGTTCTGGGCCGACAAAGCTCCCATGATGCCTCTCGTGGAGTAGGTGGCACTGCCGATGTGTGGCAACACCACTGCACAAGATAGGAGAGGAGAGAACGTATCATTACATAAGACTATAGTGTCAAATCCAAAGAACGTAGGAAAAGTGGGCAAAAAACATGTCTACATATTTCCCATCCTGTTTACTTACCGCAGTTTTTGAGTGTCAGCAGAGGGTGGTTTGCTGGGAGTGGCTCAGGTGTTGTGACATCCAATCCAGCTGCAGCTATCTGTCTGCTGCTCAAAGCTTCGTATAGATCCTCCTGGTTCACCACAGTTCCCCTAAAACAAAGACCACATCCCACCCTGTTTGTATTACCAGCAAACAGCTAGTGACATAAACATGACAACAGACTGAACACATAACAAGGTCTATCACACCCATGTTTGTGCTGCTTTACCTGCTTGAGTTGACGAAGACTCCTGTGTTTTTCATCTTGCTGAAGAAGGCCTTATCACACATGCCCTGGGTTTCCGGTGTCAGGGAGCAGGAAACAACTATAAAGTCGCTCTCTGACACAAGAGTATCCAGGGGAACTGTTCAACGGAGAGGAGAGGATGAGAGGAAACATAAAACCAAAAAAAAACCTATTGTTATTAAAAAGGTAGATTGAGTTTAGTTATTTCACCTAATCTATTTGACTTGTATTGTTATCGTCTATTAGGCAATGGTATTAGTGTTGCTTCTTATAAATAATATACTTATTCAATATATTTTCTTGATATTGGTTTTCTATTTTTATGATGCTGTGATTTATTGAGGAATCTCTGGCAAAAGAAAACGTTTCGTATCTTTTTATATTAGATTATCGCTTCTTATGTTCTGTCCTTTTAAAGTCAACTTTAATGTCAATCTTACTCCGTTTGTGTTTACAAACAGAGAGATCGAAATGACGTTTCCAACAATCCGGAATGTAAAATTATACAGTATACAGATGTATAAAATATGTATATCCTATATACACAATCAACAGACACATTTACACATATGCACACATTAAGATAAAAAAACAACACAACAATCAATATATACAAAATAACAGTCACTTCAATATCAATATCTTTGGTGCAAGATTGTCCATAAAATGTGCATTTATTGCAGATTGTCCATAACAGCGTAACAAAAAGTGTCTGGATTTGAGTGTCCTGCTATGGTTTTAAAATGTTCCCTTACACTGTGTAGGTATTTTTCTTACCATACTCTCCATTCACCTCAGCAGCATAGTCCTTGGCTGTTCTCCC